CCACCCCCAGCACCACCAGGAGTAATTCCGAGTGAAGAGCCAGGAGTAACCCATGTGTATCACTGGGTGTGACCCAAAAAGCAAAAGCAAAAGCAAAAAAAAAAAAAAAAGAACGCCGGATAGGTCTCTGCTGTGTCAGTCTGACCACTGGACTCTCAGCAAAAACTGACTTTGCCGAAAGCACCTGGTTCTCCAGGTAAATTCCTCTAACTCCCCTCAGCTCGGACCCAGCAGGGTCTGGGTGTGAGCATCTCCCTCTAAGTCTTCACAGAAGGCAATTTCATGGGGTTCCCTCTCCTTCTCCCAGAAGCATCCCAGGAAATGTGTTTAAGAGGGAAACAAGGAGCCGGAGAGATGGTGCCGTGGGTAGGGTGCTTGCCTTGTGCACGGTCAACCTGGGTCAGATCCCTGGCACCCCTTAGGGTGCCCTGAGCCTGTCAGGGGTGATCCCCAAGCCCAGAGCCAGGAGTAAAAGCCCTGAGTACCGCTAGCCAAAAAGAAAAAAAAAGAAAAAACAAAAAGAGGGAAAGAAGGAGGGGAGCAAGAGTCCCAAAGACAAGTTTAAAAGAGAACCGAGTGACAGAAAAGGAGAAAGCAGGGTCTCTCTCCCAAGGTCAGTTCTCCTTCCACAAGCGCCAGCACCAGCAACCATGTGAAAACAAAGGGAAAATCAAGGTTTTAGGCTCAACCTTGAACCCAGAAACCCTGTGAACGGGCCGGGATGGCTCCAATTTCGACCCTGGCCCCCCAACTCCCTCCAGGCCCCCCTGGTGCCCCTGCCCAGTGGGCTCTGCCAAACACTCATCCTGTGTGGGCACGGAAAAGCAAGTCTGCCCGTGATAGGGGGTGTTTTACATGCCCCCCAGCTGAAAGAGCCATCCGGCGGCCCGCTTCCGAACCACTCTGCCAAGGCTAATGGAAAGCAAACAGGTGCCACCTTGCCAGGACATAATTGCCGAAATTAAACCCACCTCTTTCTCTACTGGAAAATAATGCCTCGGAATTATTCTATTTATGTCTGTCCACAGACGGGCGTAATTACAGACAATTCTTCACCCGCCATGCTAATGGGCCCACGGGGCGGGAGAGAGTAAGGGGAGGACGGACCCTCAGCCTCCTCCCTCTGAGCCATGACAGACGGATGGGGGCGGTGAGCCATCAGAAGAAAGAACAGGCTGGGCCTCTAGAACTACCCCTCGCGAGTGTGCTGATGAGCGGGAAAGAGATGTCCAGGGGCTGGAGAGACGAAAGCCCAGCGGGCCGGGCCCTGGCCCAACATGCAGCCAACTGGGGTTGGATCCCCAACACTGCACAGAATCCACCCCCCTCACCCCTAGCCCCGTCAGGAGTGGTCCCTGAGCTCAGAGCCAGGAGTAAGTCCTGAGCACCACTCAGAGGGGCAAAAACACATAAAAGTACGTTTCCATGCTAGGGGAAAAGGCAGCTCAGAGAGAGAAGGGAGCACTAAATAAAGGGTGTTGGGAGGATCCTCCCAGGATGGGAGATGCGTGCTGAAAGTAGACTACAGACCGAACATGATTGCCACTCAACGCCTCTTTTGCAAACCACAGCACCCAAAAGGAGAGAGAGAGCAAAAGGGAATGCCCTGCCACAGTGGCAGGGTGGGATGGGGGGATGGGGGTGGGAGGGATACTGGGATCTGTGGTGGTGGGAAATGGGCACTAGTGGAGGGATGGGTACTCGATCATTGTATAACTGAAACCCAAGCACAGAAATTTGTAAGTCTACAACTGTACCTCATGGTGTTTCACTAATAAAAATTAAAAAAAAAAAAAAGTACGTGTTCAAGCAAGCGGGTGCCGGAAGAACAAGGTGAAGGCGGAGAAGCCCCTGAAGGACATGGGGGATGGCGGGATGGGGCCATTTTTTTTAAGGATGATGGGATGGGAAGCCCGCACCCTGCCCCCAGACCACCGGGCACCACAGCTGCAATGGGCGTGTGAAGCCCCAGAACCACACAGGAGCCCCAGGTGCCCAGCATCCTCGACTGATTTCTAGAACTTGTTCAAAAATAGGATTATCCCATTTCTCAAAGGAGAAATTGCTCCCTGCCACATCTGGTTGGAGACCCCCCCAACCCGAGGACCCTCAAGAGTTGATGAACGCTACCCAGAGGTGTCTTTTTTTTTTTTTTTGCTTTTCAGGGTCACACCCGGCAATGCTCAGGGGTTACTCCTGGCTCTCTTTTTTCTTTTTAATCACTCCTGGCGGTGCTCAGGGGACCATATGGGATGCTGGGAATCAAACCCAGGTCGGCCATTTCAAGGCAAACGCCCTACCCGCTGTACGACAGCTCCAGCCCCTACTCCTGGCTCTTAACTCAGGAATTACTCTTGGCGATGCACGGAGGACCCTATGGGATGCTGGGAATCGAACCTGGGTCGGCTGCCTGCAAGGCAAACTCCCTACTCACTGTGCTATCACTCCGGCCCTTGTTTGCTTTGTTTACTCTTGGCGTTGCTTGGGGGGGCCCTCTGGGATGCCAGGGATCGAACCTGGGTCGACTACAGGCAAAGCAAACACCCTCCCAACTATACTACGCTCCAGCCCCATACCCCAGGTCTGTTTGATCCCTGGCACCTCTCCTGGTCCCCCGAGCCCTGCCAGGATGATCCCTGAGCACAGAGCAAGCAAGCCCTGAGCCCGGCTGGGTGTGGCCCCCAAAACAAAACTAAAAGAGAGTTAATGCATGAAGCCGGACGGCAGCCACAGAGCAGAAGGGGGAGGAGAACCCGGGAACCAAGACCAGCCTGGTCTGGCTCCAAGGCCGAGCACAAAGAGGCTGAGAAGCCCCTCTCTGAGCCCACAGGCCGAGCGTCTGCATCTGGGGCGGCAGCCTGAACAGATGGGCCTGGAAGTTGGAAGAATAAAAAAAAAAAAAGCCTTCTGAAATGCTTCATCCATGCCATTCTACGTCTCTGAATTAACAGAAAGCAAAGGGGCCGAGAGAGAAAGAGTCGGAGCGCAGGCGAGGATGAACGTTTAAAATAATAAATAAAAAAAAAACGGGGCTTGCTCAGCCCCCAAAATACACCCCCTGCCTTGAGGAGCGCTGATGGCCTTCCAGCACCGGCTCAAAAAAGGAGCAGAGACAAGCTTCCAGCCTGGGAGCCCCTCCTGGACTCCATGGTGCCCCCTCCTGCTGCCCCCCACCCCCGTCCGCCGCCCCCGTTCCCTCCCAGCCCTTGCTGACCCGATCGGGGCCCTTTATGGCAGCGCCACAGTTATTTTTTAAACAATAAAGACCCATCCCCGCGACTCCCCGCTCCATCACGGCAAGCTTCGGGGCAGAACCAGATGGTTCCAAGCATTGCCCAGCGAGGATCCATCTGCGAGCAGCCCCCCACGCCCCGCCCCCTACAGACAGCCAAGCTCAATCTTAGGGGCTGCAGAATTCTGTGCCAGACGCCCAGAGGTGTGGGGCAGGGGAGCAGGCAGGCGCCCAGGGCTCTGGCCCGTCCTCCCCTCCCTCTGCCTTTGAGCCGCAGCAGTGGCGGCGAGTTCTGGGTAACCTGGAAACGGCGGCGCCTCAGCACGCCCGGGTCGGGGCCGGAATCGTGTCTGCCTCCCACACAGCCCCGGCAGGACCACGCGCTGCCCTGGAGTGACCGAGAGCTGCAATCCCCAGAGGCCCGACGCCCAGGGCCTCAACCAAAAGAAAAAAAAAAAATTTCAATGGCAGTGTTTTTGCTTGACAGGCAAAGAAAGGGGCATCTCCCAGTGCTATGAAAGGTTTAGAAAATAAGGATGGGGGTGGGGGTGGTGATAACAGTCCAGTGGGTGCAGTCTGATCCCCGTTTGGTCCCTGGCACTGCAGAGGGTCCTCTGGGCCCCGCCAGGAGGGCCCCTGAGCACAAACTGGGAGCACGTCCTGAACGCCACCAGGTGTGGCAGAGGGGGCAAATCTGGCCGACTCGGGCGCATGCGTAGCGTGGAGCCAGGGGCAAGGGGCAGAGCTGTCCCCTGTGTCCTGCCGACTCTGCCTGTCCCTGACACGCTCCACTGGGGGGGGGGGGGGAGGGGGCACCCCCAGGGGACGTGGGAAAGACTCAACCAAGAGAGCGACCTTGGTCCTTTCTGCTCCTGGCAGGTATATTTCTACCTCCGGGTTCTGCCCCCCACCCCACACTTGGAAGCTGGGGGAAAAAGAGGGGGCACCATGAGCAGAAACCCCACAGCGCCCAGGGACCCCCGGCCCCTGTGGAGAAGATGCCGAGGCACTGCCTGAAAAATTCATGCTGGACCCATGAGCACTGAGCGGTGAACCCAGGCCATGATGCGGATTTAGCCTTCGTTCCCCCACCAACCCCCCAGGACAGAACAGTGACCCTGCTTCCCTCATCACCCCCAGGCAGCATCCAGACCCCAGGCGGAGTGGGGGAGAGGGTGGCGGGGGGGGGGGGGGGGAACACAGACTAGGAAGTGGGGGAGGCGGGCTCTGCCCGGCCAGTCGCACAGTTTGGGGTCGGTGTGGGCTGTTGGGGTGCTTGGGGGGCTCTGCGGCCTGGGATCAAACAGGGGCTCCCATCCCCCGAGCCACACGGAGCTTCAGCCCTAAGCGATGAGGGCAGGAGCATCGGACCCTAAGGTCAGGACGGATGAGGCGCCTGCATCCAGGGAACTGCCCACAGGGCAAGGGTGACTAGAGGGGCGGCCCCCCGCCAAGGCTGGAAGAAGGGGGGTGTCCAGGGCCCCCCGGAAGGGCCAGGCTGAAGGCCGTGCCCACCCCCAGCCCTCAGGGACAGGCTCCCACTGAGAGGAGAGCTGGTGGCTGTACCCCAAACCCCAGAGGGGAGTGTTACTGAGTGTGAGGTGACAGTCCTGGGCATGGAGGGGAGTCGGAGGGGTCTGGCAGGGAAGGGCAGGCACCAGCGTCGCCCCCTGCTAGGGCCGGTGAGTGGTTCGGGGGCTGGGAGGCCGCTGCCACCCCCCCATGCCCCCCAGTCAGCGGCGCTTGCCTGGAAGCAGCCCAGCGCTACCTATCCGGATGGACAGCTCCCGTGCAGGCGCCAGCGGCCCAGGACCCTCGGGGTCCGCCTTCTTCATCGACACAGGGTCCAGGTGCAGCGCCAGCGCCGTCTGGGGGTCGTCGGCTGTGCCCTGGAAGGAGAAGCAGAGAGTCATGCCGGACCCCCGACTCACCAATCCCCACCCAGGTGCCCGGGATGGGGCAGTGCCCAGGCCCCGAGGACCTGGGGGTGACCGCAATGAGTGAGAACGGGCTCCAAGAAGAGCACAGATCGGGAAGGGGAGTCTGGACCTCATGCCCGGCTCACTCCATCACCACGGGACAAAGGATTGCCAGCGCGCACGCACACACACACACAGAAACACACAGACGCACATGGAAACACACAGATGCACAAGGAAACATCTCTACACACGGAGAGACATACACACACAGATACACCAAAACACACAGACACACGAAATATCTCTACACACACAGCACACAGACATACCAAAACACACAGACACACGGAAATATCTCTACAAACACACACACATACACAGAGGCTCCCCAGGGTCACACACAGAAACATACAAACATGTGTGTATATACACACAGAGAAAGATGAAAAGAGACAGATGGACATGCGGACACACACTCACACTACACACACATACACACAGACACAGACACACACGCATACACTCACATATTTACACACACACACAGGACGCCCTCCTGCTTTCTTGCACCATCAGGGATCAGAGCCCGAGAGGCCGGGCTGCATCGAGCTCCCTGGCCACTGTGTGCAGCACCAGCCTCTCTCTGAGGGGGGCACCGGCCCCAGGACAAGACTCACTTTCCAGGCCCCACGGGGCCCTCGGTGGCCTTTAGGGACTCGGGGACCAGCTCCCAGGCCTGCCGGAGCCCCCGTCTGTCACGGGGAGAGACGCCTGTCACGCTGCGTCACCGTCAAGACGGGCTCCACAGATGGACGATGCGGGGGACGGTGGGTGCAGGGAAGGCCCCCTGGCTACCCCACAGCGACAGCTGGCAGGTGCTGTGAGCGTGGACCCTCCCCCGGTCCCCCAGTCCCAGTCCCGGCGTTTCCATCGTGTCTAAATCTGCATCGGTTGATGCCACGGAGTCGGCCCGGGCAGAAGGTCGAGTCTCTGCAGGGGACAGTGGCGGCCACCTCCTCTGTCCACCTCAGGAGGGCAGGAGCACGGAATCAGAGCCCCTGTCCATCCCACCCCCAGTCAGATGAAAATGTCATCTGCCCGCCCCACGGACGAAGCCGTTGTCCATCAGCCATTGGTTCTTTGGCCCCAGCGGGCACAAGGATCCAAGTCCCAAGTCCCCGTGTGTCCTCGGGGAACCTTCCAGAAACACACAGACACTGATCACTGGGCCCAAACAGGGCCCGCCAGCACCGGCACCAAGACAGCAAGTGGCCCCAGACAGCGCCCGGCCTGGCACCCAGCAGCCCTGGTGCCAGCCTGGGGCCTGGGGGGGGTGGGCAGCCAGACACTGAGCAACCGTCTGGACAGCCCCCATGGGGGAGCAGGACCCCAGGGAGAAACCACCCTCTCCTCCTCCTCGGGCTCACGGCTCGTCCCGGCCCCTCGCTGGACACAGCTGCCCTCCCCACGGCTCTCCTGACCACTCGGCCTCTCTCGGACCCTCTGCTCTGCTGAGGACGTGAGGGACAGCAGAGCCTTGGGGAGCCCCCAGCAGACGAAAGGAAGGAAGAATAGGAGGGAGGGAGAGAGGGAGGGAGAGAGGGAGGGAGGGAGGGAGGAGAGAGGGAGGAAGGGAGGGAGGGAGGGGGGGAGGGAGGGCAGACGGACCAGAAGTGTGGGTAGGTGACTGGCATGCAGAGGGGCAGCGAGGTGGGGCACAGACCAGCAGCATGTCACTCCCTGCGGGCTGACACTGGCCCCTGCTGCTCTGGGGGTGTGGCCCCAGGACAGCAACCCCGAGAGCCCCTGAGCAGCCCAGCACGTGAGCGGGCGCAGGAGCCTGGCAGGTGCCCAGGGCACAGGCAGCTGATGCCCCTGCTCTAGCCCCCACGGCCAGCACCCTCGTGGCCCCTGGTGCCCTCCGGCACGAATCAGTGCATGAGGAGCAGTTCTGGGCAAACCCCCATACCTCCCACCCCCTCATGTGACCGGGGGCTCTGGGCTGTGGGGCCGCACGGGGCGTCTCTCTCAATGGGGCATGTCAGCGGGTCCCTGGGCTGGCGACAGGCAGCGAAAGGTCAGAGGACTCTATTAGTGGCCACCCTGGCCATGGCTGAGATGACCTCGTGGGGGGGGGTCCAGCAGAGTGTGTGCTCCCCCCACCGCCCCCACTGTCCTCCCCCTCGGGCCTCTCCCCTCCCTCCTCCCCCCCACCTCCACTCCACCCAGACACGGCAGGTGACCCTGGATAATTGATGCTGCTTTTATTGCCCAGGAAGTGGTGAGATAAAGATGACGCCAGGCAGGCGACCTTAAATCATGCCACACAGGGGCTAGAATCAAACGCGCCCTCACCACCCGGCAGAAGGTGCAAGGCGCTTCCATAACGAACAGCAGTCTCCCCGGCCAGCCGGCCTCGGAGCACGCGGACTCCACAGGCCTGAGGGGCACAGGCAGAGGAGGGCTCCGGCCTCGGGCTTGACCCTGGCCTCGATTTACCAGCACCTTTGGGGACCGCAGGTCACGGCGCCAAACACATAGGGAACAACAGCGCCAGGACTTGTCCCAGCGGCTCTTCCAGCCCCGTTCCTTCTTGCCCGACCTGCGTCCTTAGGCCCACCCAGAAAACCAGTCCTTTCTCCCCTGCAACAGGACGTTCGAGTTTCTCCTTCTTCCCTCAGATAACCCACGCTCCCTCCTCCAGAAAGTCCTGCTGGATAAACCCGGCTGGATCTGGACTCAGCCCAGTTCAGCTCCGTGCTCCCTGACATCCACACACATGCTCCAGGCAGGGCATTCACAGAGCTGGTGCTCACGTCCCCAGCACCGTGGCCCAGCTCCTGACCAGCAGGTTCTGGAAGCAGGGGACGCTTCCAGGCTGGAGTTAAAAGTGTTCAAACACCAACTCAGGGCTGAAGAGAGAACACGGGGGCAGGTGCAGCCTGGCACAGGGGTTCGATCCTGGGCCCTGTTCAGAGTCCCCCGAGCCCCACCGGGAGTGATCCCTGAGCACTACTGGGTGTGACCCAACACTCTCCCCCACCCCCGACACACACACAAAGAGACCCCCAACAAAGAAAATTCAGGAGTAACCCCCTGAGCACAGACGGACTCATTCGCAAAAACGAATCTCGGAAACAGGTGTCGGGGTTCAAGGCGTGACAGCAGAAAAAACAAGGCCTGAGGTGACCACAGTGGGGAGGAGGTGGGGGGGTTGACCCCAGGATGAAGGAAGGACGGACAGACGGACAGAGGGGGTGGGGGAGGGGGCTAAGACGCATCCCAGACATTCCAGCTATCACTTGGAATCACGCCTGCGGGGATCTGTGCCCTGGGCCCTACAAGATGGTCATCAGCAGCCCTGAGAGCACGTGGACAGATGCCCCCAGGATCCGTTCTTCCCTCTGCTTCCTGGTAGCAGCATCCCAAGATCCCAGGGGGCAGCCCCGGGCCCCTGCAGGCTGCCCCTCACACGTCCACCCCAGCCGACGGACACTGCCACAGGGCGCTGCCCAGTTCCCTTCCTGGGGACCCAACACTCGGGCCTCCCAAAGCCGTGCAAAGGCCCAGCTGTACGTGTGAGTGCAGAGACGACCCCAGTCTGGCCCACAGTCAGAAGCCTCAGGGGAACGGCTGCTGGGGCCCCTGTGAGGCGGGGTCCCCACGGGTACAGCAGACAGCGAGAGGGGCTAGGTCGGGGCTAGGTCGCGGGCCAGACCCTCAGGCTGCTTCTCCCAAGTCAGAGCTGATTTCATTTTCCCCTTTAAAGCACCCTAGCAGGGGGCCGGCACCATAGCACAGACGGGAGGGCATGTGCCTTGTACACAGCCAACTCGGGGTCGGTCCCCAGAATCCCACAGGGTCCCCGAGCACCGCTGAGAGAGATTCCTTAGCACGGGGCCGGGACAAACCCCTCAGCACTGATGCGGATGGCCCAAAAACCAAAACGTCTTGGAAAAAAAAAAATCCCTCTAACAGGTCTCACCTGGGACGTGCGTTCTTGCTAACCCCCAGCACTGCCCAGCACCTCAACCCCAGCACTACCCAACACTCCCGCCGACGCTCACACCTGCACCCAGGTTTATGCATCCACACCCCCACCCATCCCTCATCCATCCCCCCATCCATCCCCCAACCATTCTGCCTTCGTCCTGCCTCCATCACTGATGGGAAGCACCATCCCATGGGCGGCAGGCTGACCTGGACGTGGCCTTGGGCAAAGGCCCAGCAGCAAAGGCCCATCAGGGACAAAGAGATGTGACCCCAGACCCTCCCTGAGCTAAGAGGCAAGAAGGAAGGGAAGTGCCAGGCCCAGGATTCAGAAGGACCCCCCGGAGCAGGGAATAGGTGGCGGGGGCGAGAATTCCAGGGCTCAGGGCTGAAAGTCTAGCACTATGAGTTGTCAACTGACTTTTCTCTGCTCCCCGGGACAGAGAGGATCCGGAAATGTGCCCTAACCCGCTGCCAGCAAGGCGGGGACGAGAGAAGATGGCAATCAAGCCCTCAAAGACAGCGGTCAGCAACCCTGAAGATAGCAGTAAGCCCCCCAAAGACAGCAGTCAGTCCCCCAAAGACAACGGTCAGTGCTCTCGAAGACAGCAGTCAGTGCCCTCGAAGACAGTGGTCAGTGCCCCCGAGACAGAGGTCAGTGCCCCCAAAGACAGCAGTCAGCGCCCCGGAAGACAGCGGTCAGTGCTCCCGAGACAGAGGTCAGCCCCCGAAGACAGCGGTCAGCTCCTGAAGACAGTGGTCAGTGCCCCCGAAGGCAGCTGTGAGTGCCCCTGAAGACAGCGGTCAGCCCCTGAAGAGTGGTCAGTGCCCTGAAGACAGTGGTCAGTGCCCCCGAGACAGAGGTCAGTGCCCCCGAAGGCAGCGGTCAGCCCCTGCCAGCAAACCGGAGCTGCTGACCCCAGCTGCCCAGCGGCTGCCGGGCAGGCCGGGCCAAGAGTCCGAGCAGTCTGTTTAAC